ACCCAAAAACTTCCTATCCAAAATACATGAAGAAGTAGCAAATACAAATAAGAGGTCAACGACCAAATTCCCTTTGATGAGCAATCAAAAGAGATGAATGGACATTTTACAAATGAGGGGAACTGGCATTAGTAAATTATTGTCCTCTACTGGATAGAATGATGACCTTGACTTCAGGAATCCTGCCTCTGACACTTACTAGCTATATGGCCCTGTGCAAGTCATTTACTTTCTCTGAATCTCAGTTTCCTCATCTGTTAAATGAAGGTGCTGGACTTGGTGGCTTTAATGTTCCTTCCAGTTCTAAAGTTAATCCTTTGAGTCTAAGAATTATTCTGTTATTATGAATTACTTCATGATTCTTCTTCTAAGGCCTCGTGGTACTGTGGTGAGCACTCTGGGTCTTCTAAGCCTATGCCAGGATCACAAGCTCAAGAAGATGCTTTCAAGCTGGAAAAGTTTACAGTATGAGTCTGGAGACAGACTATCTGTCATCCAAGGACCAACCTCAATGATTTCGGAAAGGCTCATCACCAGAAAGTTGGGGGGAGGGAGGGTCTGTGTACTAATGTGTGGCAGTAACCCACACGCAGGAAAGCACTGATCTTTTGAAGCACTTGAAGAAGGTAATGTAATAACAGTTCATGTTTGTGTAGTATTTTAAGGTTAACAAAACATTTTATTCTTTCCAAGGTTATTTTCGCACATCATGCCATTGTTTCTCACAATTACTCGGTGATTACTGATACTATCGTTATCCTTTCTGCATTGAGACTTTCTTCATTGAGATTTCAATATATCATGGGATTGGCATAAGAAATTAAATGGGAATTTTGGGGGGAATTTTATGGAAGCCACAGATGACACTGAAGGCCAGCTAATGACATAGAAGTTTAGAAACTCAAAAACACATAAATATATGTATAGTATTATATAATATCAACCCAAATTTTACAATAAGGTATTATAAACACTCATGAGGAAAAAGATAAAATTCAGATTTCTTTTCTATATGAAGGGAGGGCCAAAAAATTTTACATGGATTTTCCGGATTGTGGGGGCACCGTGCCCCTTGCTGTACCGCCCCCTGTGGAAGGGATAACTATCACTAAATTAGTTTGAGTAAATTCTAGGACATTAACAACATAGAAAAATATGTGTCAAAGAGTATGTGAATCAAAATCTCAGCCACAATATCTCTAAACACGGAAGGAAATATAAAGATTATTGAGTCCAACTCTTTTTTTTAAGCATGAGCAAACAGACCCAAAGAGGTGATGGGACTTTTCTAAGCTCACACATATAAGGTTAAATTGGAAAAAATTTCCACCAACCAACAAGGTAAATAGGTGGCAAGTAGGCCTTAATGCAGTTACAAATCTGTGCCTTTGAAGCTTATTAAGAGTTTGGGTATGGTACCCAATACACAAAAAATCTGAAGTGCAAGGATCTGAGTTTGGATCCCAGGCTCTGCCAGGTTCCAACAGTGTGATCTTGGGTATGTTATTTTAACACTGTGAGTCTCAGCTTCCTGTAAGATCATGAGGTTGGACTAGAACACTTCTTAAATCTTTTCCAGTTCTAAATCCAAGATACTTTGAGCTTTGGTGTGGAGAACTCCCAGCAAAGGAACTCCTTCCACCAAGGCAGATTGCAACCTAGGAAGTTGTCCAGTCCTCTATCTAAATATTGCTTCTAAACAAGACACTGTAGCTATGTGAAAACAACACATTTGCTAAGATTTTTTTTAAAGGAAAACTTGGAGACATGTGAGTAGTTCCTTTTTCTCTGTAAAGTTGTGTAAATTCCGATTATGGTAAAGAAGGAACTCTATAATGAATACAATGATCAAGTTTTGGTCCCCTAGAGATGAAAGAGGAACTGGAGGTCACTAATCATTTAGACTGTACAGGCTTTCCAAATACTGGGGTTTTTGGTTAAGAAGGCTAGTTCTATGTTGTCAATGTCACCCTACAGGAAACTAGAAAACCCACATGGCCACAGGTAACATCTTTATCCTTTCACAGCAGCCTCTCTCACCCCAATGAGGCAGTTAGGTGGCATAGTGAATAGAGTGCTGCACCTCAGAAAGACCTGAGTTCAAATCCTACCTCAGATACTTACTAGCTACATGGGCTGGCAAGTCACTCTGTTTGCCTCAGTTTCCTCAACTGTAAATGGGGATAATAAGAGCATCTACCTCTCAGGGTTTTTGTAAAGATCAAACGAAATAATCTCTGTAAGGTGCTTAGCACAGTGCCTGGCATATAGTAGGTGCTATGTAAATATTAGCTATTTTTACTACTTATAATACACAACTCGATGTTTCCTAGCTCAAATCTTCTAGTGCTCTATGACTGCAGACAAAGATGTTAGGTACACAGAGCTGAGCAAAGAGTAGCTGCTAAAAAAAAAAGAAAGAAAAAAGAGAGAAGCTGCTAAATGATGTTCATTGAGTCAATTACATGGTGGCTAAGAGAAGACAAGATGGAGGATTTCACACTGGGCCTTAAGGTTCACAGGTGAGATTCTTGACCTTCTTTTCACAAACACCTTGCGAAATAGGTAGTACAAGTGTTATCATGCTCATTTTACAGAACGGGTTCAGGGGATGAAGTTTCTATGCAACCTATAATTGCATAGTTTGTGCCTGAGCTGGCATTCAAACACTGGACTCCTACCTCCAAGTCCATTGCTCTTAGAACTATAGCATTCCTTATACCACTTGGGTGTCGAAATAGATACACTGGACTTGGAGTCAAGAAGGCCTGAGTTCAAATCCTGCTTCCAACTCAGCTGTGTGACCCATGGTAAGTCACTTAACTTCTCTGGTCTTCAGTTTCCTCATCTGGAAACATGAAGGTGTTAGTCTTGATGGCCTCCAAGGCTCCTTTGCAATTTGAAAGTGGAGCCAGAGGACCTAGGTTCAAATTTTGATTCTACTGTTTACACCATTGACCTAGTGTTTTTAGAGGAGAGGACACTAGATGTAGACTTAGGAAGAGCTGGGTTCAAATCCTATCTCAACTCATTAGCTGTGAGATCTTCCAGTCACTTAATCTCTCTGTCTCTCAGTTACTTTACCTGGAAAATGAGGACATTAGGGGGCAGCTAGGTGGCACAGTAGATAGAGCTCTAGCCTTGGAGTCAGGAGGACCTGAGTTCAAATCTGGCCTCAGAGACATGACACTTACTAGCTGTGTGATCCTGGGCAAGTCACTTAACCCTGATTGCCTCACCAAATAAAAGCAAAAAAAAAAAAAAAAAGAGGAGGTTGGATTTGACGTTCTCATCTGTAAATGAAGGAGGCTTAATCCAACTAACATTTATTAAGAGTCTACCATATCTACCAAAATACTATATTAGGATCTGGAAATAAAAAAGACAAAAATTAAATAGTCCCTGACCTCAAGGAGATTGCATTTTATTGTGGGGGTAGAGGGAATACAATATGTATAGAGATAACTAAGTAGAAAATATGAACAAGGCGATATAAAGATATAACAAACGGCAGCTAGGTGATGTGGTGGATGGCTGGAGTCAAAAAGTCTTGAGTTCAAATTCTACCTTATTAACTTTGTGACCCTGGACAAGTCACTTAACTTTTGTTTGCCTCAGTTTTCTCATCTGTAAAATGAGTATAATAATATGACCTATCTCCCAGGGTTGTTGTGAGGAACAAATAAGATAATGTTTGCAAAGTGCTTTGCAAACATTAAAGTGTTATAAATACGAGTTCTTGTCATCATCATCATCATTATCATCATCATTATTCATAAAGGCGATGAAATCTGAGCTGTGCTTTGAAGGAATAATGAATATTGCAGACACAGGGGACCAGGAACAGAGAATGTCTGAAGGGTAGTAACATGAAATAAGATTAAAGAAGGTAGGTGGGAGCCGGACTGTGGAGGGTTTTAAATTTCAGCCAGGCTAGGGATTTTGCATTTTATTCCAGATGCAATAAGGAGTCATGAATGTTTTTTAGTATGGGGTGACCTGGTCAAATCAATATTTTAGGAATATCAATTTGACGGCTGTGGGCAAAGGGTATATTGGACTAGGGAGATGCTAAGAAGCAGGGAGACCAATTAGAAGACTATTGCAATAGCCTGGGTGAGAGATAAGGGTATGAACCAGAGTAGAGCCTGTGTGAGTGGAGATAAGCAGACATTGTGAGAGATGTAGAAGTAGATTGTAGAAGTCTTGGTAATTGATTGGATGTGGTGGGTGAAGGAGAGGAATGAGTCAAAGATAAAACCAAGGTTATGAACAGGAGTGACTGAAAAAAATGGAAGCACGCTTTACAGAAAGAAAAAAGTATGGCAGGCAGATGCATTTAGGGGAAAGTATAATGATCCATTTGAGATCTTGAGCCTGGGAGGTCAGAGGTGCTAGAGGGCCTGGACAGGAGGGTACCCACAGCTATCAACAGAATTTTTGTTTTAGTTTTTGCCTTGGAAGATGGGGTTAGATTGGTAATCCCTTCCATTCTGTATCCACTTCTTACACCAACATAGAAGTTACTAAAAGGGAAAGCTATACCTTCCTTCCCCAATACTGGGCAAATACCCCTATAACTCTTTGGGTAGGCTTTACCCTTCCCTCCAAAGTGTCTTTAGAAATAAAGTATTTTTGAGCTGTCCAGATGCCTCCAGTGCTCTCACATCATCTCTGCCCAAGGGTCAACATGATGTCCTATTGCCATTGACCCCAAAGAGTGCTCCTGAACTCCTGGTACCCTCTTCTGACCCCCCACCCCATACCTCTCCATTTGTGTTTTTTCTTAGTGCTACCCTGCAATTAAACCTTGACATCATCTTAGCTTTGGTGGCTTTTCCCCACCTTCCTCCAGTCCTTCCTTGGCCCTTCAGAGGCAAACTCACAATTAATCATGGTTTGCCTAAACCTGGCTGCTAGGAAGACCTGTAGTCAGATGGAGTTCCAGCTTCCTGGTCAGTCCTCTTGAGCCTTCTCCCTACCCCCCAGACTCCCCATACCTTCCCAGAGAAGGAGGCTTTGAAGTGTCCAGACAGCCATCGTGCTCCAGCATGAGTGAAGAAAGGACCCAGGGAATGAGTGTGTGTGTATGTGTATGTGTGTAGGGGAAACAGTTCAATAAGAAACTAACCAACTGGAAACTGGAACATCCTAGGCTAAGAGGATGTGGGGAACCTCACTGTGTCAAGTAATGGAAAACCCCATCCCAAGAAGGAGGAATCTTGACTCAGAACAAGATGCGCTGAAAACAAAAATGCCCTCAAATAAAGTAGAAGTTGGCTCAGGCCAGAGTTGACTATTTTAAGAACAGATTCTTATAAATCAGCCCCCTTCACGTGCTCCTATTCTGCTAATGCAACCATGGAGATTTCCTGGGCACATTATTGGGAAATTAAGTTGTTCATCTGTCTCTTTACCCTTCATTTACGAAAACAACATTTTTAAAGTGGCCGCTCCGTGCTAGTCAGCAGTAGGAGGAGAGGAAACCAGACTTCAAGGGGTTAAAGGGAATGGTTAGGAAGGAAGACCCGGGGGACAGCTTTTTCTAGAAGTTCAGCAGCGAAGGGAAGCAGAGAGATGGGCTAGAAGGGTCAGGGGTGTGTTTGCAGGCTGATCCGAAGGAGCTAGTGGTAGATGGGTGATCAAAGATTGGAGATGCTGGAGGGAGGCGCTGCCTGCCTGCTGGATCAAGGTTCGGGAGGGAAGACCGCGCTGGTGGAAGGGAAGGGTTAACTCTGCTGCCGGTTCTCCAAAGCCTTCTAATCACTAGTACACAGCACTGCTCATTACCCAGCCACAGGGGGGAGTTCACTCAGGTAAATTAGTTGTGGAGTTCAAAGGGGCCACTCCCAACACTCTCTAATTAAGATAGCAGCTTGCTGCCGGAGCTTCCTGATCCCAGCTCTCTATTCCTCGGGGCTTTTTGGGGAAGCTGAACGTCGGCTACAAATGCAAGCTCAGTAGCTCCATCTGCCACCCACAACAGACTGGCTGCAGTTAAAAAAGACTTTTTTTTTTTTTTAGAACAAAGTGATGCATAGGAGCTGGAGGAGGGGAGGAGATCTTTGTAAACAGAGGGCTCTGACCACCCTCCCTGGCCATATCCTCCCATTAACCCTTTGCTGCCTTGGTTCGTCGGATTTAAAGTAGTAAAGGACTCGTGATCACCTAGTTCAACTTCCTCACTTAATAGAAGGGGAAACAGAAGCCTGGGGAGGGAGAATGACTTGCTCTAGAAACCTGGCGAGCAAAGTCAAGACTCAAACCCAAGTCTTATAATGTCAAAGTAGAACACTCGGTACATGCTTGTAGCTCATTTACTAGCACTTCAGAAACACCAGACACACGCAGTGGTATGATGGTAAATGTTTAATAACTGCTTCTCTGAAGATAATACACTTTCAAGTTTAATCTTCATTATTAACATTTTCTCTATCACTTTCTGAAGTCTAGACCAAAAAAAAAAATCTATTGAGCCTCGAGTTGCTGTGCTTGTTGATGTCCGAGGTATAAATGCACACACTAAAGATTTAACAGTCAGCTCTAGCTAATCAGTATGAGCTGGCACTAGCAGACCCCTACTTACACTTCTCAGTGAGTACAACCGAACTCGATTAAGCAATATGTGCAAACAATACAAATATTAGCCCCCTTAAGAACAAACCACCAACCTGTGTCATAGACGTCCCAGAGTTTTATACGGATGCTCAGCTGGAGTCTGCCTGTCTCCCTCCATGGCAGGTGTCTAGCAGATCTCCATTAATTAGCACTGCCCTGAAAGAATTCTAGCAGCTGAGTCTCAAGTTTGAGGGAACAAAGGTACCTGTCCCAGGAGCAGGCTGAAGGCTTGGGTCTCCACTGGGTTTCTTATTGTTCTAGCTATGAGTGTTCCTAATTTGTTTACCACAGAATTTGATTTTCCAGTTTATTATATAAGTCATTTTTAACATTTTTGCATCGATGATATTGTTATAGGAGAAATATCTCCTCTCTGAGTTCATGTGGTAGGTAACTGCTGCCCAAATATATTTAACACAATGTAAAAATTATAGAGGTAAAAACCTAGGTTTTATTATCATGCCCAAGCATAGGTTCAGACTTCAGAGAAAACAATAAACCTGAACAACCATTAGAATTCTAACAAGTCCTCTTACAGATAAAATTACAGCAGAGTGACAGAGGAGTAATTCTTTTACCATAGTGCAATCTTGTACATTCCTCTTAGGCCATAAAAGTTAAAGAAAAGCTAGAACTATAATGCCATGCTTCCTTCAATGTCATAAAAGTTGAACCAACTTGGTTAAACAGAGTCCTAATCTCATACATAAATAAACCTAGTTAAATAGACTCTCTAGGTAAACTAAGTCAGATTAAACTACATTTAGAGGGCTCACAAATAGCCTGATTGAGGGGAAGATTTACATGTTGGAAAAGAGTAAAAGACAGTTAAGATTCTTCCTCTGGCTTCTTATCTAAGGAATGTTTAAGTCAGTAAGTAAATTTTCACATTCCATGGGACAAATTTTGGTCAGGTGAGATTAATATTAAAAGAAGACAGGCTTTTAGTTAACCAAAAGTTCCAGGAGGAATAAATAGAAATCAAACCCCCCAAATTCCCATTACAATATGTCCTATCAAAAGGTTCACACATGTTTATTAATGTTTTTTTTACTAGATCATACGACCCAAATGCTTATGTTGCTATTGAAAAAGAACCTATCTGTACACAAATATTTATAACAGCTCTTTGTGTGGGGGCAAAGAATTGGAAATTAAGGAGATGCCCACTTGGGAATTGGGATTCTTTAATTGGGAAATGGCTGAGCAAGTTGTATATGATTGCAATGGAATACAATTGTGTTATAAAAAATGATGAAGGGAATAGTTTCAGAAAGACTTGGGAAGACATATATGAACTGATGCAAAGTAAAGTGAGAGAACCAGGACAACATTGTGCACACTAACAGCAATATTGCAAAGATGATCAGCTTAAAAGACTTAGCTATGCACAACAATCCCAAAGAACTCATGATGAAAAATGCTATTCACCTACAGAGATGAACTCTGAATACAGATTGAATTGAAGCATATTTTTCACTTTCTTCACTTTTCTTGCCTTTTTTTTTTGCAACATGGCTAATATAGAAATATGTTTTGCATGACTTCATATGTATAATAGATATAGTTAACAGGGATGAGGAACCTCCAGCCTCCAGGCCACATGTGGCCCTCTAGGTCCTCAAGTGCAGCCCTTTGATTGAATCCACACTTCACAGAACAAATCTCCTTAATAAAAGGATTTGTTCTGTAAAATTTGAACTGAGTCAAAGGGCCACACCCAAAGACCTAGAAGGTCACTTGTGGCCTCGAGACCACAGGTTCCCCACCTCTGATAGTATTTCTTGCCTTCTCAATGGGGCAAGGGGCTGGAGGGAAGGAGAGGTTTTGGAACTGAAATAAAAAGAAAAAAATTTATAGGGAAAACAACTTAAAAAACAACTCAATCACAAAATAGAGGTTTAAAACAAAATGCAAAAGATTTAAAACTTAGTTATGTTAAGTTGACAAACTTATTCTTACTAACTTACTAAGTTAATAAACTTATTCTCACTACACAGCTGGTGTCCACTACACCAGTCAGTCAATAAGTATTTATTGAGTGTCCTTACCATGTTCCATTCATGGTGCTCAGGACAGGGATGCAAAAGCAATGTTCTTACTTTCAGGGAGCTCATGCTCTTGATTACTGTAGGGAATTCTGGGCAATTGTGCACTGAGAGGAAACTAGATAAAATCCTAAGAGCTACTGGGCAGTCAGTGAAGAGTAGTCCTCATCCTCTCTCTGGGGGTATCTGGGGATACACAGCAGATAGATGAGGGGAGGGGCAAGATGAAACAATTTGGGTTGCCTTGATTTTTATCTTGGGTATGTGTATCCTAGTTGTGGTGCCTGGAGGAAAAGAGGAGAGGGGCAGGGGAGGGGAAGGCAAAAAGAAGCAAGTTGGTTGTGATTGAAGGAGTGGACTGGGTAGGCCTCTGCAAACTCAACTTCCAAGTGTGTGTGTGTGTGTGGGGGGGGCAGGCTGTGTAGCCCAATGCATCCTTTGCTCCAAGGGCCTTTCTCCCCCCAAAGTCAGCTGCCATTGGCTCTGACTTTTGAAAACTACATTGAGAGAGGCATAGAGTATGGGACTGGGGAAGTGTACAATGTCCTTTATATCAAACCCTTGTCCAATACCCACCTGCAGTAATGTGTCCATTTCTGGGTACCACAATTTAGGAAGGACATTGATCAACCAGATAGTTTCCAGAAGAGGGCAACTAGGATAGTAAAAGGCCTCAAGAGCGTGATACATGAGGACTTGTTGAAAGAGCTGGGAATATTTAGCTTATAAAAAGGAAGACTTAGGGGTGAGAAGATAGCTCTCCTCAAATATTTGAAAGACTATTTGTGGAAGAGGGAATTGACTTTTAGGCTCCAGAGGGGAGAATGGGTAGAAGTTGCAAAGAGGAATTTTAGGCTTGATCTTAGGAAAAACTTCCTAACAATTCGAGCCAGCCAGATAGTAAATATGGGAATTGTCAAGCAGAGGTATGTTGCAGAAGGCATCCTTGTTCAGATATGGGTGGAAATAGATAAGATGGCCTCTGAAATGCCTTTCTATCCTGAGATGCTATGATTCTGTGAACTGTACCATAAAGGTTCATATGACTGATCTCTAGGCACCAACTGGCTTACTGTTATTAGCACTTCCTAGCATAAAGGTAATTGTCTAAATACCACATTAAATTAAGGTTACTTTGAGCACAGAAAACAATCAACTCTCCAGCCATGTCAAATTCATCGGAGAGAGCCAGAAGGAAGAGAAAGAATAAGAAGGTCTTTGGGCAGAAGGTAGGTGACCACTTGTTGGAATGTGGTGAAGAAAGGAGCTTTAGGTTGCACATATGGCTTGGAATGGATGACCTCTGAGGGTGTTCACAATTCCAAGGTTTAGAGTCTGGCTTCTATGAGATAGTTGGGTGAGGCCTGTGGGAACCGAACCATCAGTGACTTTAGAGGAAACTGTTCTAATGGAAGGGAGATAGTATAATAGCTTTGAGGAGAGC